AATAAATAGATAATACTCCATCTTTTCAAGTATTGTGGAAAATTTACCAAAATTGACCATACTCTAAACAACAAAGAAATCATTAAGACTTAAAACTACAAGCCACAATTTCTGCCCACAGTACAATCAAGCTAGAAATGTGAAATGAACTTTCAATGCCAGAACCCCAACCCCAGGGAAATTTAAAAAATACCAATTCTAGCTAACAAGCAGGTCAAAGGATATGTTTTTATTTTCATATTATTTAGAAAATAATAAAAATAAGGACACTACATATCAAACTGTAAGGGGTGTGCCAAGGCTAAAATCAAATTTAACGTCACAGCCTTAAATTTTTCCTTTTGAAAAAGAATGAATTAAAGTAAATGTACTAATGTTGGAACTCTGAAACCACTATCAAAAGAGAAATAGTAACTCCATGGAAGCCAGCATAAAAGAAATAATGAAATATAGCATAATTTAAAGAAAAATAAATTGAATATTTATAGTGCACCATTCAGCAAAATAGATTATGTTTTTCATATTATCTATAATGGTTATGCATATATCATTCACATGTGTATGTATATTCCTCATATAATGATAAAAGGATGAAAAATTAGAGTTTACACAATCCTTTTTGCTGAAACCAACTGTCGTCCTTTTACTTTTTAAAATATCATTAAGATTGATCCATTTCTCAATGGTATGCTTCAATAATTCCAAAATTCAAAATACTTTAAAGCCTTTTTCTTTAGACTATCTTTATTCTATATCCACTAAGGTATTTCTTAGTACACCAAAATATTCGATTCACCTTTATTGCCTAAATTCTTGTTCAAAAAAATGTGAGGCACAGGACATATTTGGTATCAAAATATACAGTTATGAAATCACTATAAAAATTTCCCCTGTGACAGTATAAAAACTGAATTAAATGCCATGACTTGGTTTTACTTTCATTTGTTGTACACATGTGAAATACTGCAATAAAATTTTCTTCTTTAGCTCTTGATGATATCCAATATGGGCTGAGTGTTGCAGAGTGTTTTGGACAGTGACTTGCATTAGTGTGTTCTCACAATATTTCTGTGATACAAATCCAGCAGTTATACAACCACAGAAGCATTTTTGTGTTGTTGTTTTTGTGTGTTTCTTTCTTTCTTTCTCTTCACTGCAATAAGTCAAAGAAACTCACATAAGGAAAAGTCAGGAAGCCAAATAAAATCTAAAGATATCTAACCCTGTTCTACGTCATTTGCTCAAAAACTGTAAATATCCTCAATAAGTTCAAAACCATTAGAATTCTTACAAGCAATCCAAAAATATGGATTGCTTTTATAGTAACAAACAAATTAATATCTTAATAGATTTTTTTAGTATTTCTAGCAAAATTACCTTCAAAAGAGTCCTCTGTGTGTTCATTTTCAAT